GGCGAATGCCGGACCATGCTGTCAGTGGCTGCCTGGAGTCCCGCCAAGCTCACTGATGTGACTGGTTGCCAGGAGCTCAGTGGGATGCCAGCCAGACCCCCCCACACAACTCTAGACAACTGGTGATCTTAGTGAGTTGGCCAGGACACCAGACAGAGCATCACAGGTTGCTAAGAGCTCTTAGTAACCTGTGATGCTTTACATTTGCCTGCATTCCTATGATATTATTCTCTGGCAGCAATCCGAATGCACATCTCAAGCAGATCTTGAAAGACTGTTGCATTGCGCAGTCACGCAACTATATATTTACATCCTGTCCTGTGTAAGCCACAAAGGCTCAGTGGTCTTTAAACAACATCGAGCTGCCATGGTGGCAGGCATATACAAAGGGGTGGGGTTTACTGTACAGGAGGTGGAGCTTTAATAATATGGGCTCAACATCACACTTCCATATTACTGAAGAAAAGATTAGAACTTAAAGTAGTAATAAACTCTCAAATTTTCTCCCATAAAGAATCAGGATCAAACAATATACATTGCCCAGCAAAGTATTTTTTTTTCCCCAAACGTTTACAGTCATCATGCTTCTAAACAGCTCCAAGTCTCTCAGCTCCACTTCTCTAAAGTTCCTGTTGAGTATAATATCACAAGAAACAGATAAATCTTCAGCAGCTGTCCATTTACTAGGAGTGGGGAGCAGGGAATAGCTTGGCCTGCTGTGCCTGTGTGTTTGTTGAGACACGCACAACTTACAAGCACACACAAGGGTGGCTTCATAGGCCCCTCAAGGAAAAGGAGCTACCCTAAAAGAGCATATTTGCGGCAATGCTCCGGGGACCAGCTGATTCTGCAGGAAACTAACAGGGTTATTCACAGAAGGGTAAAGAGTCTGGAGAAGGCAGGAGAAGGGAACAATCTAGGACAACATAACTGAACTGCAAAGTGAGCTGAATTGGAGAATTTTTTCCAAATCAGCTAATTTGGTCTCAATTGTTCACTTCTCCTGCCTTCTCCAAACTCTTCACCCTTTTGTGATTAACCCTGTAAAACTTTTAAATGTCAAGGAGAAGCATCCATTATCCGTGATTTAGTCAGTGTATGGAATACATTATAAACCTTGTGACTTTTCACTTTAACTTGCCTCTCCTTCTCCTTTCCTGCATATTGTCTGATGCATAACTAGATGTACACTTTTTGAAAGTGCCTTCCTGTTATTTTCAGCACTGTGTGTATTCATCATCTGCATTTTTTGTATACAGTGTACTGTGGTGCATTTTTTTATGTTTGTTATAGATATTCAATCTAAGCAAAGTATTTTCCTTAACCAAGTATTTCCACTTTGTTCAGTATCTTTATAATGTGCACTATTCTCACAAACTGTGTGTTCATGGCTATGTCTGATCTTGGACCATGGAGCAAGTATGTTGAGTAAGTATCATTTTACTACTACATACCTTCCGATGTATTGTAAAAATATATATTTCAGCTTTTAAAATAACTGTATAAATTGCATTATAAACTGTTATTTATGAAAGTAAAACATTTTGAAGTTTTTAATTGAGACATTATATATTTCATTAATAAATAGGAAAGACGACTAAATGCTTAGTAGTTAAGGCAATAAAAAAAGACTATTCGCAAGAGCCCAGGTTTTCACCTTTATAAAAAAAAACCTTTATATATATTTAAAAAAAAAGAACCAATGAGCAAACCTATAGTAACCCATTAGATAGAACCTCATCTTTCACTGTTCTTCCTTCATTAAAGTGAATGGTGAAAATATAAATAGTTTTTATGGTTAATTGTATGTTTGCACATTTTCAGTGTTCTTTGCACTGCCATATTGATTCACCAAATATATATGCCTTAACCTTAGCTGCCAAATGGGTATTTTGCATTGTATGTAGAGAAATTATTTAGTTATTGTTGACTGACACCTCAGGGATCATTGTGTTTGGCTCTGAGAAGCCCCTTCCACTCATCTAGAAGGATGTAAAATTATAATTTTGACTTTTTTTTGAAACCTCTGTTTGCTTACCTTAATTCTGATTTTGCTGTGTCTTTTCTTTAAACTTCCATTATCTAATTGGAATGTTATTGGTTCATGTTTTTAATACTGCCTGTGTTTATTGATGTCTGTACTCTTCTAAAATAATCCTCTGCCAGGGCTTTCTTGTGAAACACACTAGGCACGTAAGTAAACCTAATCCTTCATTGAGCCCTTCCATAAAGTTTGCTAAACTCACTGGTTATGCTACATCATAATTACATCACAAGCAGGCCTTACCAAATTTATGCCATTCTGACCAATATCTATTTTTTCTTTTTATATATATATATATATATATATATATATATGTT